GTCTTCATACGGTGGCAGGAGAGAGAGAGAGAGAGTGCAAAGGGGGAAGTGCTACACACTTTCAAACAACCAGCTCTTATGAGAACTCTATCATAAGACAGCACTAGGAGGATAGCGCTAAACCATTAGAAATCACCCCAGTGATCTAATCACCTTCCACTAGGCCCCATCTCCAATACTTGGGATCACAATTCAACATGAAATTTGGGTGGGGACACTGAGTCAAACCATATTATATAGGAATTGTGCTTCAATGATACATATGTGAAAATACAGAGTGCATGATAGGTCAGATCCAGCCAGTGTAGCAGGAAAAAAAAAAAAGAGTTGATTCCAGAGTACATGATAAGAGGGAGTTATACAGCTTATCTATAACATGCAGCTCAAGAAAAGGCATTGACAATTTAAAGCAAGACATATTAATATATTTGTCTCTTTATAACCAGGCAAAGGCGTGGTATGGTATCACTTAAGTATACGGGTGTTTGAGAACCATAAACTCAAACCCCATCCCAACTCATTCCTCCTACACACTACAGCAGCATTGCCATGATGAGAACGTTGCTGGGGGAAAATGTAAGTGATGGGGGAGATCCCATAAGCAAGGTGACTCATGGAACATTTACTGGGGATTCTTCTGAAAAACATGTTTACATCAAATCTAAAGGAGAAGAGACAGGAAGAAGAAAAGGAGAAAGCACCGTGAAGATGGAATAAGCCAGAGCTTCAGGTGAAAGCAACAGAAAGGTTGGCTCAACAACCATCCTGCCCAGTTCAGTTTTATCTGCTAATGAGAAGAAAAATGAGCATCAGTGAAGGAGAGGGAATTTATTCACACATGTGATCTCTCTGGGTTCTTCGAACTCTGGGGCTTTGATTGATCCATCTGCTAGAACTGCCTTAAAAAAAAAAAAAAAAGGAAAGAAATGAAAAGAAGAAAAAGCACAACAACAGGAGCAGCCGAATCTATGAATTACTTGATGCCATGGGCAGAGATGGGCACCTTGTTGCTTCTGGTCACTGCATGGCTGTTGGAATTCAACAGTCACAGCTGTTTCCTGTTCACTGGACTGGATACAAAACAGATTCAGGAAAGGGTTAGCTGCCCACCCATCTAAGTATCTTGAAGGCTAACACTCAGCTCATCCGGGCAGTAACTTTCCATGAGGGCAGCTGGAGTTTGTTTGGTTTTATTTGCTTTTTCACTAAATAGATTATGTGGGCCATATTTCTAGGAGAGATGGGATTTGGTGGATACCCAAGCACAACATATATTTATTTTGTGTTAAACTAGAATAATGTGTTATATGAAGAGGCACTAAACTATAATAAAAATGACCTTGATTTAACTTTGAAGCCAAACATTTGCAATTTGAAGTAGCTGGTAGTTAGGAGAATGACACCTGGTACTTATGCAGGCATGTTTCAAGAAAATTTATATTCTATGAATCTAAACTTATATTAATGTCAATTTATTCACTGACATTTATTGAACTCTGTTAGCCCAGTTACAAATAGTAGTCTTCTCTCACCTTGCTGATTGAAAAAGGGAGGCAGAAAGAGGGTAAATTACCTTCTCTGGACTACTGGCTTAGTGGCACAATTAGGATAGGAACACAGAGACATTTATCTGGTCTCAGGGATCTGACATTTGAGGCACAGCAGAAGCTATGTTGCAATTTCCAACTCCTGTTTGCTATAATTGATACCTGTAGAAATCTGTGACTTTAAGGACATAATGTTGCTTTCATGAATCATATTTACCAGATTATTTATTCATGGGTTATAGATTATTTACAGACCATAATTGTGAATAAAGCCACTGGAGCTGATCATGAAATGGCGATTAGCATTACATTAACACGTGGGATGATAGAATAAAAGCAAGCAATTTTGTCAACAGAAGAGGATGCCAAAGCTGAACTGATAGTGTGGATAGCTTCTAAAAATTAGAGGATTTGCCAGTCCTCTACTATAGGCCTTTGAGTATATTAGGGAAGCCCGAGAACACAGACCTGGAGGGGTATAAAATAGAGCTGCCCACAGAGAGAACTGAGTTCTCATTTGGAACAGAAATAACTGTATTATGAGCTAGAGGATTTGCAAGAGAAGCTTGCATGTGGATATTCTGCATATTCAAATGCTTCACTGTGCATTTAAGTTTTACATGGAATCCTTTACATTACATCAAAGGCCTTTACTTTCTTCTCTTATCCATGTATAGAGAAAACATACGTGCATTATCAACTCAATGGTTATTTCATCTTACTGTAACACGTAAAGAAATTAATTGGCAAAACACCTCACAATGGTGTTTTGTTAGAAAACTGAAGGCCATCTGTGCTGGAGTCTCCAGGTAGTGCTTCTTTCTTCTCTTTTGTTCTGTAGAATTGCACTGGTTCATACTCTCTAACTTTCAGCAAAAAGCAATTTTGTAAATGGTGCACTCAAATGCTCTGATGAAGTTATAACTGATAAAGGCACTGAGACGAAGATGCTGCAGTGAAAAATGGGGCACGTCAAAGAAAACTGATTCGTAATCATAAAATGCAGACAAGGAAGAATAAAGTGGTGTGTGTATTGCAGGCTGTCAGTTGCCCACTTCCAGGTTTGTCCACAGCCTGAGGGCATTATATCTTGTCAGAAGTGCTTGTGGATGCTCATCTGTCAACACTTGTTCAATGTCAAATTGTATCAGAGGGTTCAGTCTCCTTTTGGACTTCAGTAGTCATCTCTCGGCTCTATTATATCTCCTTTGGTTAAATGAACTTTCATTTCAAAACTGTCAGGCTTTTTTCATGCGTCCCTTTCCCCATGGAACTGGGAATCTGGGCTGGATCTTAAAGCCATATATACTGTTGCTTTCTTTTAACAATGACCTGACACAGATCTTTAATGGAAAATTCCCATCACCTCCCAGAATACATATGATGCAGCACACTCTTTCCCCAACTTCTGTGCCCCTTCATCTAACAGTCTCCCTGGCAGGCTTGAAGATTTTTGTCTTCACTTGTGAAAGCCAATTGCTTTACCCTTTTCTGTTGTGGTTCTTTACGACCACCACTCTCCTGCAGGGGTGCTTTTTTTCTCTTTCCCACTACCATTTCCTTTTTTGTTTCCCAGCAAATTAACCCCCTTCTTTAAGATTCATTATCTCAGAGCCCTTTCTAATTTATTACTACCTGAGACTTTCTTTCCAGACATTATATGAATTAAACTGCAAATCCTTTCATGACGAAATGCCTAGAAATTCTATATGAACAATTTTTTAAACCCCTCCTTTGAATGCATAGATAAGTTGATAAAACATAATCTCCGTAGAGAAAGTGAATAGAAAGTCATATTTGACACCGTAGCAGTTACTGCTATGTGTGTGTGTGTGTGTGTGTGTGTGTGTGTATGTGTGTTGGGGGGGGTGCCAGTAGTCATGAGAAGCTAGGGATATAGACCATAACACCATGGATTGATAGATGATGAGATGTGGGGACTGTAAGAGACAGGAATTGGAACTGAGATATATGTATAAAGCTGGTACTCTTGAAGGGCAACACTTAGTAAAAGAGTGACTAGAAAATAAATATGCTCACCCATGCAAGGAAACCACATGGCAGCGTCACTAGCTAAGACTGGTTGCTTGGGGACAAAGTCTCCCCTGGAGAACTCTATAATCACAGGCTTGCCATCTCATGGTTTGTGATTCAAATATATACTTTTCTTTATGATTCATGAACCCTCAAGCTGAGATACAAGGTGAGAAGTTGTCACAGGTCAGTGAAACCCATGGGTACCTGGGAAAAGCAAACACACAGCCTAGGCCAAAGTGGTTTCCCACAGAAATAGATCCTCTAAAGATGAGCTCACAATCTAAAATTACAAAATATTCAAGGAAATAATTTACCCTGAACCAAAATCAGTAAAGACAGTAAATAAATATCAAGATCACAAGCCTAAGAATTCAGATGTTACTTTTATCCATTAGACTTTTAAAAGGTATGTTAAAATGATGAAAAGAAATATACTGCCAAAGAGGCCGAATAGAACTTCCAGAAATTGAAAATGTAAACACTGAAGTAAAAACTGAGTGAGCATTTTAAACAGGATATTGGACACACCTGAAGAGTGAATTCATGAACTGGAAGATAGATCTGAAGAAAACTATTTGTACTGAGACGCAGATAACATTATGAATGACATAAACATTATGAATGACATAGTTTATCTTTTGCACTGTGTTATGTGCCATGTACAGAGATTAAAATCTAGTCCCAAATTTACACTTCCAAAAATTGCCTAATGTTGTATAACCACCTTCTGAATGATCAGAAACTCCTGAAGGGAGGCAACTAAAATGTATTTTAGTGTATCAATCAAGTTCTCATCCCAAGTTCTGCAATATAAGTACCAAACAGTAAAGTTAACGATCCTGAGAAAAAGGAAAGAGAAAAGATGGGCATTTTATCTACTTATATGACTATATACATAACAGAGCGAGTAGGAAATGATAGGTAGATGCCATAATTCTTACTTCTGCAATGGCATGAGCCATGGTTGATATTTCCTTCAGTTAGCACCTCAGACTGTTGACTTTCTCAATGAAGCCTTCATTTCTGAGGAATATGAACTCTTGGTGTCCAGTTTGTTTTGGATTGCAAGACCCTTCTTTGCCTCTTGGCTTAGTAGAGGCACCCCAGATCAACTGGATTCTAGCCAAAGTCTTCCTGCCCCCAATTTGCAGCAATTATTCTGTTTCTCCTAGACAACCAGGATCAAACACCACTTTGTTTGTTTTATCTGGTGTCCTCAAGAGACTAACTGAGCAGATGGCAGTTGCCATGTTCAATTTAGTGGTATTATTATTAAACCCTTTGATGGCAGCATTTCTCCCTTGGATTTGAAAAACTTAAGTCATTAGGGGTAAAAAGTAATGGAGATTGGAAATAAATATTTTGTAAATTAGTCATGAGTTGTAGCTATAAAAGGGACCAAACCTACTCACCCCTTCAGTGCTGGAACTCTTGTTTCCTAGCCAGTAATTGATTGCTCTTCAGAACATTTACCGAATTCCACAGGAGAGCATTTCAAGCTTGCAAAGTGTTAGATACTGGCTGATATAGTAACTGAGTCTTTAATAGGCAATTCCAGCTACATATGGGTAATGAGCAAGCAGATGTGACCAATGCATTTTTATAACATTTCCTTATTTCTTTTTATAGTTAAAAGGACTTTCTTGGCCAGAAGCAATATTGTGTGATATTCCATGAGGATGAAAAAGCCATCTCGTAAGTCTATGGTAGGTGCTACTTGAGGAGATATTGAGACATGGAAGGCATACCCAAATCCAGAATAAATGTCTGTTCCAAGGATGTAGCAGGATTCAGTGTAATGAATCTGCCACAGGTGAATTCCTGGTCCAATTAGAGTATTCTACCTTACTGGAGGGGTCAGGGTCAGTAACTGTTGTTGGTAGACTTGGCACCTGACTCTGACAGTAACTTAGTCAACCATAGTGAGAGTAGTTCTTTGTTGATGAGCTTGTGTATAACCTCTGTCCTTGTCAATATGGATGATTTTAGAACCCACTGAACAAGGATGGGCTGGCTGGAGAAAGAGGCTAACTAATACCACAGGTTAGCTGAGCTTCTCCTGACAACTGAGAACCTTCTCTGCAGTGGAGGCATTATAATGAGCATCTCTATGAGACACAGATATTTTTCTTGCCATCAATCATCTGATCCTGTTTCTTCTAAGAGCTTGATGATCTCTTAAATCTAATCAATCTGCCCTTTTCCTAGCCAATATGGACAAAGACATATACTTGAAGTTCTGCCTACTGGAAAAAATTATCTCTTCCACTTACTTCTCTTCCTGAGTGGGCTCTAATATCATGGAGGTGTGTCTCTGCCTATTGTCAGCCACAGGTGTCTCTTTTATATCACTGCATCATAGGGAACTTTCCACACAGCAATGTGGGCCCATGAAGTAAGCTGAGGGGAAGATGGCAGCATGGGAGATTCAGGCCTGCTGGAAGGGTAGGCAACATTCTTATTCAACTTTTTTTTTTGAGGATCTGTCTAAGGCTGGTCTCTAATACACTAACTTCTCCTTGACTGTGCAGTGTATTGTTTGCAGCCAGTTTAGAGCTAGGTATATCTGGTAACACCAAGTTTATAATGGTCAGCTGAGTCCCCTATCACCAGGTATACCATGGTTAGCAGGGCCCAGTGGCAATCAAACTACTGTCTTCCAAAAGAATGACAGCTACATACCAAAGAGGATGCAGTTTTCTCTCAGATTCTTTGGAGACTTCATTGTGATTCTTCTAACGGGAATTTCTGCAGCCATCATATATTATCTTAATCTGCTCAAGGCATTTAATTAGCCATAGCATTGGCTGAGTCATGGGGATCAAGGTGCAGATAGCTGTTTGCCGTGTAGCTTGGATAAGATGAAGACTCTTCTCTTGCTCTAGGCCTTAATCAAATTAGGCAAAGTTTCAGGTAACCAAATAAATAAGTTACGGTGTAAATATAGTTTATATTACTTCAAAAATGCAAAAATCCCACCAAGAATTGTATGTACAAAATATTGCAACCTGTTTTTTATTTTGGAAGGAATATGCTGAGCCAGTCTACTAGTCTGCCAAAAACTTTACTGAGCTTTCAGATTTTTATACTTTTGTGGAGGACACCATCCATCTTCTGATGAGTCTGGCTTCTAGGCAACCAGCTTCTTTTTGCTCTTCAGGTTGTATTATTACCAACAATGTGATGGACCAGGGAGATATCTTGTGGAATGAGAAATAGTCAGATCCTTGAGAAGTAAATTGTGGCATAACACTGAGGAGGTGCTGTGTCCTAACATGGAATAACAAAGATGTACAGCAGGTCCTTGAATAACATCACTTTGTTCAATGTTGTTTCATTATAAATAAACTTGATGATAAAAAGAAGAATTGATTCTTCGCTGGGGCCTCCGTCTGTGTGAAGTCTGCATGTTCTCCCCATCCTGTGTGGAGTCAGGTACTCTAATTTCCTCCCACAACCCAAAGATGTGTACATTATGTTAATTGGTATATCTTCTAAATGGTCTCAGTCTGAGTAAGTGTGTGTGTGGGTGTGTGTGTGTGTGAGTGCATCCTGCAGTGGAATAGTGTTGGTGCCAATTTTATGCCGTGATAGGTTCCATCCACTGGCAACCCTGAACTGGAATAAGTGGGTTAGGAAATCAATGACTGAATGAATAATGAATTTTGTTATAGTCCAATAAAAATTCATAAAGTGTACAATAATCATCCAAATGAATGACAATAAATAATGCCGGATGAAAGAGCTCAGTGAGCCTGCCATATTTGTTATTGTGTGGTTTTGAACTGTGTGGTGGTAGGAGGTGCTCTTTTCAAGTTTTGACTTGCAAACACTTATTCCTTGATTTAACCCATCACTAGGACTGCTGTTACTCACCAGTTCACCAAAACCAGTAAATAATTATCTGGGTAAATAATTACCTTACTTGCTTCTATTAATCTTTCTTAAATGTATATGCAGCTCACATTTATTTCAAATGTTAATACTGTAAGTGTTTTGAGCCTTTAGAAGTTTAACGATGATTTTGTGACCAAAAATATGCTGTAGGAACTTAGCTCCTTTTTATATCAATTAGCCTATGATAAAATTGGTTTCAGAGTATGTTGTCTTGCATAAAGTCAGTTTCCAAGAACTTACTGACAACATTAAAGGATGACTTACTGTACTAATCTTTTTCCAGGGAAGCTATTGGTTTCTGGTATTTTCTGCTTGTTGGGATTGAAAAAAAGTCACTGGATCAATAACTGGTTATTAGGTATCTGTGGTTGTATTAATTTAGTCCATTAAAAATATTACATCTGGAACAGTAGCTTTTATTGGAGTCATCAGCTAATTCAGGTTATGAAAATTCACTATTGCTCTTCCAAAATCAATCATGTTTTGCACTAACTAAACTAGAGAACTACACTGAGCATTTTATAATTACCACTCTGCAATTTCCAGCCTTCCATGGTAGCAATAATCTCTGCACTTCTCCTACAGGTGTAGTATTGTTCTTGACTTACTATTCTGTATGGAAAGAGAGATAGCCTCTGCATGTCCCTATTTTTCTATAGCTCTTACTCTATGAGTTGAGGATGTAATGTGAGTATTTTTCTTTTTTTTTTTTTTTTTTTTTTTTTTTTGAGACGGAGTCTCGCTCTGTCACCCAAGCTGGAGTGCAGTGGCCGGATCTCAGCTCACTGCAAGCTCCACCTCCCGGGTTCACGCCATTCTCCTGCCTCAGCCTCCCGAGTAGCTGGGACTACAGGCGTCCGTCACCTCGCCCAGCTAGTTTTTTTTTTGTATTTTTTTGGTAGAGACGGGGTTTCACCATGTTAGCCAGGATGGTCTCGATCTCCTGACCTTGTGATCCGCCCGTCTCGGCCTCCCAAAGTGCTGGGATTACAGGCTTGAGCCACCGCGCCCGGCCCTGTGAGTATTTTTCTAGCTACTGAAATGTATTCAAACATTATGGTCAGGACCTGGGGAAATAACCATGTAATGGGATGAGGGTCACACACAGCCAATTGTGAAGGAGACTCAAGTGAAAATTATTTTCATGACATGTGGCTCTGGGAATATCATAGACTAAGTGTGTGTGTGTGTGTGTGTGTGTGTGTGTGTGCATGTGCATGAAGGTCTTCTTATTGGTGACTAAAGTTAGATACTTCGTAAGACATAGTTCTTATGTTTTGGGGTTTGAAGAAAGTAAGGAAAATTTCCAAAGGACCAGAAAAAAAGGAAAAGCTGTGAGGACTTAAAAAGCAATTAACACAGAAGTAATGAGGGATTCCAACAAAGGCAGGAGCCAAATTGTCACTGCTACCAAGAAACTGCGCTTTGGTCTGGTGAAAAGATGTCTGTGGGAAGTTGCTAAACTTGAGTGTCCCAGGTTAAGTGTAAGAAACTTGAAGGTGATTTAAGCCATCATAGAGGTTGGTAGCCTATCCTGGCTTGTGTTTGATGGAAACCAAATCCACTTTGGTGAAAATGTCTTTATTTTATGCTGTCATGTTTTCCATTGATCAAGATCAGCCAAATATGAACCCACAGAGAAAGATTACCAAACATGCAAAGAAACTAAACCATATCAATGATAGCTAGCATAGGTAACATACAATACATATGAACCCTCAAAGAGTTGAGACATGATAATCATAAAATATAGTTGCATAAGATGTAGGATATAAAACAACATTTTATGAACTATTTAAAGAAATGGAGGATGGAACAACAAAAAATGTACATGCAACAAAGCACTTAAAATTTTTCCAAGCATATATAAAGAATATCAAATGTAAATTTTAGACATGAAAAATGTAGTTGTTGAAAAACAGAGGGTAAGGAACATAATACATATAAAAGAATAGAAATAAGCTAATTTGGAGACAGACTTGAAGAAATTAACTAGAATGCAACACAGAGAAATGGGAGGTGTAAAATGAAAGAAGTGTTAAGAGATGTGGAAGATAAAAAGAGAAGGTCTAATACTATGTCCCTTGTGACATATACAAGAAACAGTAGCAAGAGATCCACCTGGGAGATCATTAGAAATTCAGATTCAGCCTTACTGCTGACCTCTTGTATCAGAATCTTTATTGATTAGGAAGCTCCTCAGGTGACAATATACACCCAAGGTTTGAGAAGAAGTAGGTGAATAAATGTATAGTTAGAATCCCAGACTGAAAATAAAGAGAATGGAGAAGAAGCAATATTTCAAGAGATAACAATTACACATTTTCCAGAATTGAGGGAAGACATGAATCTATTTCTACCAAGCAGGATATCTATCTATCTATCTATCTATCTATCTATCTATCTATCTATCTATCTATCTATCTATCCATCCATCCATCTATCTATCTATCTATCTATCTATCTATCTATCTATCTATCTATCTATCTATCTTCTATCTACTATCTATCTATCTATCTTCTATCTACTATCTATCTATCTATCTATCTATCTATCTATCTATCTATCTATCTACTATCTATCTGTCTTCTTTCTATCTATCTATCTATCTATCTATCTTCTATCTATCTATCTATCTATCTATCTATCCATCTATCATCTATCTATCTAGATTGTAGTGAAACTGTAGAACACCAAAAATCAAAAGGAAATCACAAAAATGACCTAGAGAGAAAAGACACCTGGACTGCTGACAATTGACACTACAACTGTAACTTCAACATCAACAACAGAAGCAGAAGAGACTGG